CCATTCCATTCTATCATATGCCTTGCTCATGTCTGTTTTAATAGCCATCCTTTTATTGCGTCCACTCGGTTTTGTTCTTAAGGTATGGAACGTCTCCTGAGCTATCATAATGTTGTCAGATATTTGTCTCCCGGCAACAAAGGCTGACTGGATTTCTGAAATCCTATCTGGTAGAACCTTTTTTAATCTCTGGCATAAGACCTTAGAGATTATCTTGTAACTAACGTTACATAGACTGATAAGACGTAGCTGGCTCATCTGGTTCGGCTTATCTACCTTTGGAATGAGGCATATGTTGGTATCATTTAAACTAGGGGGCAACGTTCCTTCAAATAGGAATTGATTAACCATAAGAGTTAGATCATCCTTTACAATATCCCAAAATTTATGGTAGAATAACACAGTCATTCCATCTAGTCCTGGGGCTTTCTCTAGATGCATTGCAAAAAGAGCCAATTTTACTTCCCATTCGGTGACCGGAGCTGTGAGATTCTCATTGTCTGTTGATGTAATGGTTGTAGACACCTTAGATAGTGCTTCCTCAATTTCCTCAGAGTTTGATGATTGGAAGATATGTCTAAAATAACTTGTAGCAATGGCTACAAGTCCTTCCTCATCCTCTACAACATTCTCATCCTCATCTAGTAATTGTGTAATTTTGTTTCTCGCTCTTCTCTGCTTTGTGAGAGCGTGAAAAAATTTAGTATTTTTATCTCCTTCCCTTAACCAAAACACCCTACACTTCTGCTTCCAAAACACCCTACACTTCTGCTTCCAAAACATCTCTTCCGTCTTAAGATCGTTAGACAGTTCCTTCAAAGCTGCAGCAATCTCCTCTGTAGTGGCGTCATCGTTTGAAGATAATTGATCCACCTTTTCTTTCAGCTCCTCCACAGTCTTCTTCGAATTCAGATTATGTTTCCTTTTCCAGTCACATAAGGCACGCCGGCAACTTGCAATATGTTCCATGATACTTGCGTCTGGTGGAAGATCCGGTGATTTCCATCCCTCAAGTATTACTTGCCTGAAGTCCTCATTATCCAGCCATCTCTTGTCAAATTTGATATTTTTTTATCTTCTTGATTTCTTTTTAAGAATGTTGGCTAAGATCGGATGATGATCTGATCCCTAGAACCTCATATACTGCAATTTGGAGTGAGAATTTCTCATGTCAGTCCTCATTCCCAACAGTTACGTAAAGGAGACATCTAACCTTAGACATCCCTGCTCTATTCCCTACCCAGGATAGCATGTTCCATGTAAAAGAAAAATCCAGCATACCATAATCACTTAGCATTTGCTTGAAGGGTAAAAATGAATTGTCTGAGCATTGTCTGCCACCTTCCTTCTCTTCATGACAGGTTATTTCATTAAAGTCACATATCATAAACCAAGGTCCATTTCTAGTTGTTGAGAAACGCGTAAGACGTTCCCAGATTAAATCTCTTCGTTCAAGTACAAGATCGCCATAAACAAATGTCATATAGAATTTTATTCCATCAGTGACTGCCTCAATATCAATTACTCTGTTATTTGAAAATAATATATTAACTTGAAAATCATCCATATAAAAAAGTGCTAAACCTCCGCTGAGACCAAGTGGTTCAACGGTAAACAAACGATCATATCTTAAGTCGGCCTGAATGTCTTGCAACATCAACCTCCTATTCTTCGTCTCAGAAAAAAACACGTCCTAAGCGATGATTAAAAATGGTTATCTTTGTATGCGCAAGAGAAGGACACTTTTGATATTAAAGAGAACAATATATAATATATCGTACCCATCATTCTCTTAAGTGTATATAGTTAAAAAAATTATGTATATCTGATGAAGTTTCTCTTAAATATTTAACTATCAAATTGTTTTTGGATTAGTGTTAATTAATTTAGTTTATTTTTATTATTATGAGATACATATATATTATTATTTAATTGTGGTATATGAAATATTAAAATATGTAATAGTTTACCAAAATAAATATTTATATGGAAAATTGATATTATTGATGATATATAGTAAGTTATTTTTATTACCATATTTAAAATCCATGATAAAAAATTAAATTTTTATAATGAAATTTTATATCTCACAATTAAAGATGATGTCATGTCATCTTTTTTAAATGATACTAGGTGATTTTCCCGTGCTCATGCACGGACATGTATATTTATAAAATAAATATACAATAATAATTGATTGATATTTACTTTATTTTTAAATTAATTTATAGTTTGTGTGTCTAATTTATATTATAATATTATATTACTTTAACTATATAAATAATTTTAGATATGTTATATTTAGTCTGTTTTATTGTTTTTACGGTCGATTTAGTTATCATTTAGATATATTGGATTCTATCTATTTCTCTGAATTTAACTATAATCTTTTATATTTTAAATATATCAAATTTTTGATTAATTGTCTTATTTGCATTTATGCTGGTTGTTATTTTAGAAATATAATTATATTTAGTAAGATTATATATAACTTAAGATTTTTTTGTGCTTAGAAGGAAAAATAAATAAAAACTAAAGTGTCTGATTCTAAATTACATACATAAGTAACTAATGAATTTTTAGAAGCTTTTGAACTCATATCAATATTTACAATAATTAAAATATTTTATAAATTCTAAATAAATTTATGCTTTAGATAGATTGGATGGTAAACTGAAATTTATTTTAAATAATTTAAAAATAAGGATTCTGATTTGCTTAAGTATTTTGACTATGGTTATATTAAGTTTCACAAACATAAAAACAGAAAATTAATAATCAAAAGACTTATTAAGAAAACATATAATTTTAACTATTAAAATATAATATATCTACCTCGTTAAATTACATAGTGTTATGGTATTTTAAAATAATTGTAGTTATTTTCTGTTTTTATGTTTGTGAAACTGAATATAACCATAATCAATATACTTAAGTAAATCAGAATCCTTATTCTTAAAATAGATAATTTTAACTATTAAAATATAATATATCTACCTCGTTAAATTATATAATGTTATGATATTTTAAAATAATTGTAGTTACTTGATCAAAAGATGTTTATTATTAAATTTATTTTTTAGTTTTATTTTTAGCATCTCTTAAAATATTCAGTAAAAAGTGATTGTTTTTGAGAAATTATACTATATAAGTAAAATAAAATTTGTTTTTTACTGTAATTGTAAGATATTATAGTCAAACAAATTTACTAAAAAAATAATTTCAATAATACTAATTATAAAAAAATATCAATTAAACATATATCAGTTTATTTTAGTTGATTATTTTATGTAATCATCTAATAAAATAGATAGATATATACAAAAATAATTATTTTGAAAATAAATAAATTTTATTGTTTAAAATTATATTTTTAAAGAAAAAATATTTCTTTTTCTAATAGTAATATTTTTTTGTGTGAATTGTTTTTATGAAATCACACTATATACATATATTCTTTTTTTTTATATAAGAAGATATAGATATAAAATATTTTATTACTTCAAAGGTATATTTTATGTTATTGAAAATATATTTAAATTAAATAATACTATTTTGTGAACTTTCCTTTTTTTCATTAACCATATTATATATACTTATATTTTCGTTTTTAAATAGTTTTGTAAAATTTATAAATGTTTCCTTTTTATTTTAAATTGTTATTTGGAAATTTTTAAAAAGGAAATAATATTTTATTGTATTTTAATTCATTAGGGGTATCATAGTAATCAACCAACGTGAGAGTTAACGTGAGTGCGACACCTAAGAAAGTGACTTCTCAAATAATATTATAGAGATGTCATATTTTTTTCAGTGAGAATGATTGTAGAGATGACATGTGTCAAAATTACTTCTCAAATATATTTTAGGGGATCTTCTCTTATTAACATAGCCAATATACTTATTTATACAAATATATAAATAGGAAATATAACTTATACATAAATGATATATTTTCTAGTAGTTACATCTATATATTCTAGGCGATCTAGAAGTTACATCTATATAAATACATGAACGATATTATCATTATCATCATAAATATTAAATATATGCTCAATATTATAAAAATGGTCCGTCACATAAAAAATAATCTAATATGTGAATTTTGACTGATTTATAAATCTGTATAAAATTTATAAATCTTAGCAAAATATACTGATTTCCAAATCTAATATGTAAATTTTAATAAGTACTTACAAATCCGAGGGTTTTCCTTCGGATTTTAGTCCTTGTATTTTTAACAAAGAAATCCACACAAATCCACCCAAATTCATTACAAAATCAAATCCATTAATGAATCTGAATGATTGAATAACACCTGATTTGAATTAGAATTTATAAACCATGAAACCAATAACACTTGATTTTAACTTGGATTTTAAAATCATGAAACCAATAACACTAAATTTTGTTTAGATTTATAAATCCATGAAAATATATAAACCAATAACACCTACTAAATCATGTGTTTCTGATCAGAGAAGATGGTACATAACATAACAAAGATGATACAGAAAAATATCTTCTATTATCACTTTACTTACAGTAAAAATTCCAGCTGTAAAAAATATAAAAAAAAAAAAGTTCCAGCTGTTGAGCCAAATAAATTTGCCGTCAAATACCAGAAACCCTCATTCGAACAGCTACACAAAACGCGGTATCTACTTGCATGACAATCATACATAATACTCCCACCGTTTCAAAATATATGTCATTCTAGACTTATTTTTTGTCACAAATTAAGTGTCGTTTTAAAGTTTCAAGGCAAAATTTATTAGTTTTATATAATATTCTATTTTTCTATTGGTTGAAAAATGATTAGGTGTATAGGTAATGATGTTTTTATCTTGGAACTATGTAAAATTAAATATTTTCTTAATCTGTGTGCAAAAACATAAAATAACAAATAAAGTGAAATGGAGGAAGTACTATGTTTTGACTTTCTGGTTATTGTCTTCTAGCTTCACATTGATAATTTAGTTGCATCCACTGGTTTCTCAACTCTTCCACTTGTAGGACTATATTTTAAACAATAGTATAATCAATCACTGGTTAGATGACAATCAGAGCTGAAAGATTTGAGCTTCTGATGTAGAAATTTGGACAGCAGACTACTTACAATCCACTTAAGACTTTGATGGCGTCATAAAAGAACCATTGCAAGGTTATAACAGGCCCGACGATAGTGATTCGAACAGGAAGACTTCTGGTGAATAGACCAACAAACCCAATGTTCCTCACAGCATGAAGCTCAATCAGTAAGCAATGCAAAATTGTGAAACGAATAATTCAAGATTGATTTCCTATTGATGGATGAGAGCCTACCTGCAACACATTCTTGGCTTTGCTGTTGTAAAGAGACGAAACAACCACATCTGCAGGGTTAGAGATGATTGTACCTACGGCTTCAGCAGTGTAACCAGCTAGACATGTGACACCGAGCTGAGCTTTAGAGCAATCTTGCTTCCTTTTCTGGATAATATTCTGATATATAAACTCCACTGACTGCTCAAACGTTGAGAACATCACCATAGAAACTGAAACCACATAGGAGACATAATCAACAAGATATGGTTTCACAGAGAACACAACCAAATCTACAACTATTGTGCATCTATACCTATCCTCTAAGCTAATGCCTAACTTAGAATAGAATCAAACTGATGCACAGAGATGATAATGTTCAGAATGACTTAGTGAAAAACAGGCATTGCACGAAGCAGTAAGATTACATGGGAGATTGCGACACCAGAGCGGAAAAAGTCCCCTGTGAAAGCTGCATTTGGAGACATAAAGACTCAAAAACAAACGCAAAGTGACAGACAAGCAAAATGATTCTGAGGAGAAGGGCTTACCCAGCAAGACCTTAATTTCTATATACTCTTGGAAACCCATCAAGCAACCCTTTTGAAAACATTGGCTGCGTCTGTACTCTAACTTTTATGGCTTCAAAGGGGCATAAGGCCATATCTGCGAATATCTGAGCAGAAGCACTACTGAGAAAATATATGGAAGTTCTGTTATTGTTAGGCAAGACATTGCTGTAGAGTGTCTTGAAGTACTCATAGAGTCTGAATCTGCATCCGCCTTGAACACCATAGCCTAAGAGCTTCCCTGACCAACCTCTCTAGAGATAGGAATGACCATGCTCTCTTAAGAGAGTGGAGAAACCTGAGGGAATGCTATTGTACTTCACAGGATTCACCTACAAAGAGAGAGTGATCTGTCATTGACTGCTCAATCATGATGATCCAGTTGAGCACAGAGTAGACCAAAATAGCAGTTTTAAACATCATTACATATCACTAAGAGAAAACGAGATAAAGACATCAGAAGAAGTAAACAAGATTAGAGATTTTTAGCATCAAAATGAAATTAGCATAATATCCATTTCAAGAAACAAGACTGACTGTTCAGTCATGAAAATCCCATTTGAGCACATATTCCTAAGAGCACACAAGACTGAAATCTTTGCTTATTAACTAGAATGTAACAAACAAGATTAGAGATTATTAGCATCAAAATCAAATTAGCTCAAGACCCATTCCAAGAAATCAAAAGCAGAGAAACAAATCACGAACCTGCATGTTGACTTTGAGGACATCAAGAGGGGTTATAGCAAGGTGTGTTGTTCCGGCACTGAGCATTCCTCTCATGGTACAAACGGTGTAGAACCAAGGGGACGACAGTTCATCGTCTACTTTCCTCTTGACACTTGTCATCATCTTCTATAGTTATTGTTTCGAAGTGATCCCTCAGAACAAAAAAGTTTCAAACAGGTGTTTTCTCGGAAAAACCCAAAACCTAGAAATGAGAAACACGTCACGACAAGGGGGAAAGAGCGTACGTGGAGTGTTCTCGTGTCTGATGGCAATTCTTTGTCCACGTCTCACGGACGCTAAAGACAAGGCCAAAAAGGAAACAGAACGCTCTGTTTTAATTTTAGAAAGAAAGTTCCAAGCTTTCGGTAACGGGTTAGGCGAAAAAATCGAATCCTTTTGTGTTAAAAAGTTGATTTCAGTTTAGGTTTCATGCCGGTATTACGATAGAAGAAGGTGGTCCGGTTTAGGTCGGTTTACACTAATCATGTTGGTTAGATATAATGTATTTGGTTTACACTAATCATGTTGGTTAGATGAATGTAGACGTCCTTTAGCTCAGCATCATTTACTATATAAAGTGATGCAGGTTGTAACAGAATCTTTTATGATGAATGAAATGTTTATGATCATCTCTCTCTCTCGTTCATCTTCTATTATGGTATCAGAGCTCGAGAATCAAACTTCTCGATAGATCCTTCTTAAACCTTACTTCTCACGTGATAGATCGCTTGATTTACGTATCATCGATCACAAATTTCACGACTAAGTTACTGTTTCTCATTCTACGATGGTGACTGCAAGAAGAGTTCTTCGGAGAGCAACCAGAGCTGCATCGAGTCGCCGTTCACCTACGCCGGAGGCGGCTACATCAGATCCTCTGTCTCCGTTTGTGGTATCACCTGAAAGTATTCACTCTCCCTTTTACCTTACCAATGGAGATAATCCATGTCTTTCATTAACATCTGAGATTCTCGATGGAACGAATTACGATAGTTGGTGTATTGCTTTATCCATAGCTTTAGATGCTAAGAATAAAACAGCATTTATTGATGGATCTATAGTAAGGCCAAGTGATTCTCATCCTACTTTCAGAATCTGGTCTAGGTGTAACTCAATGGTGAAGTCTTGGATTCTTAACTCTGTTGACAAACAGATCTACAAAAGTATATTGCGTTTCAATGATGCTTCAGAGATCTGGAAGGATTTGATGACTCGATTTCATATCACAAACCTTCCACGTTCTTATCATCTGTCTCAACAGATTTGGGCTCTGGAACAAGGAGCTCTAGATCTCTCTGCTTATTATACTAAGCTGGAGACTCTTTGGGATGAACTTGATGGGGCTAGTTGTCACACTACTTGTCAGACGTGTGATTGCTGCAAAGTGATGAAAACAAAAGAAGAACATTCAAAGGTTGTTAAGTTCCTTGCTGGATTGAGTGATTCTTACTCTTTTATTCGCAGTCAGATTATCATGAAGAAGCATATTCCGGAGCTATCTGAGATCTACAACTTGTTGGATCAGGATCATAGTCAGCGCAGTCTACAACCTCTGCACAATGCTACTGCTTACAATGTTGCTTCTCAGGATCATTTACAAGGATTTATCAATGCTACCCAAGGATCTTCTCAGCCTAAACAACAGACTAAGCCTATTTGTGGTCATTGTGGGTATACAGGTCATACGGTGGACACTTGTTACAAGATTCATGGCTACCCTGTTGGTTTTAAGCATAAGACTAAGAATCAATCTGATAAGACTGCTGCTCCTTCAAAGCCTGTTACATCTCAGAAACCGGTTGTAGCTCAAGTTTCTATCCCTAATACTAATACTTTACGTGAGGTTGACAATCTTACAAGATTGGTGAATCATCTCTCCAAAGATCAAATTCAAGGTGTGATAGATTATTTCAATAATCATTTACACGTTTCTGGACAATCTAATGTGGACGCCTCTTCGTCTCAAGGCACTATCACTGCTCTTCCGGGTATGGCTTTCTCTTCTTCTACACTACATTTTGTTGGAGCTTTACAAGCTACTAGTTCTATTCTGTCTTCTGAATCTTGGATAGTAGACAGTGGGGCCTCACATCATGTTTGTCGAAATAAAGTTTTATTTGAGAATATTGCAAGTGCAATACATTCTTCTGTGACTCTGCCTACTGGTTTGGGAGTTCACATTGCAGGAGTTGGCACTATCAGAATGACTGACTCTCTGGTTCTCAAGAATGTTCTCTTTATACCAGATTTTCGGCTTAATCTTCTGAGTATAAGTCAGCTAACCAAGGATTTGGGTTACAGAGTTGTTTTTGATCACTCGTCTTGCATGATACAGGATCCTACCAAGGGGCTGATGATTGGTCAGGGTGAGGAGATAGCAAACTTATATGTGCTTAACATGAGTAGCATTCAACAAAGTCTGGATCAGAAGTTTGCCTATTATTCAAATGTTGTTTTTGATTCTACTATATGGCACAATAGACTGGGACATCCCTCTATACAGAAAACTGATTTTGTTACTCATTCTATGGGTTTAAAACATAAGAATAAAAATCAGTTTTATTGTCATATCTGTCCATTGGCGAAACAGAAGCATTTGGTTTATGATTCTGCAAATAATATGTGTGCTACTCCTTTTGAGCTTCTCCACATTGACACATGGGGTCCCTTCTCTGTTTCAACAACTGAAGGATTTCGTTACTTTCTCACCATCGTTGATGACCACACTAGAGTCACCTGGATATATCTCATGAAAACGAAAGACGAAGTACTACGAATTTTTCCGGATTTCTTGAAGATGATAGAGACTCAGTACAATGGTGTTGTGAAGGGTGTAAGATCAGATAATGCTAATGAACTCAAGTTCACTGATCTTTTCAAGCAGAAAGGAATTGTCTCGTTTCATTCCTGTCCAGAGACGCCACAACAAAATTCGGTAGTGGAGAGAAAACACCAACACATATTGAATGTGACAAGGGCACTTATGTTTCAGGCAAGGATTCCTCTTGAATACTGGGGAGATTGCGTTCTTACTGCTGTCCTCCTCATTAATCGACTTCCGAGTCCTCTGTTACAGAATAAAACTCCTTTTGAAGCCTTGACATCCAAGAAAGTGAATTATGATGACTTGAGAGTATTTGGTTGTCTCGCTTATAGCTCAACATCATCGAAGAATAGGCATAAGTTCAAGCCTCGGGCTCGCCCTTGTGTGTTTCTTGGTTATCCTTCTGGATACAAAGGTTATAAGTTATTGGATGTCGAGACAAATCAGGTACATATCTCTCGGAATGTGGTTTTCCATGAAGAAATTTTTCCTTTTTACTCAAGATATCACAGATTCTGAGATGGATTTCTTTGGTTCTCCCACCGTTGTTGAAGATGAGAATTTGAGTGTTGAGGAAGTTGTCACAGGAATTTCTTCTTCTGTTCCTATTGATCCTTCTGCTCCAAGTACTTCTTCTGATCAACAAGCCTCTGTTTCAGAGACGGAGACTAATAAAAGATCTACTAAAGCTCCGGCTTATTTGCAGGATTATTACTGTAACCTCAATACTACTGAGATACCTTATCCTATGGCGAATTTCCTATCTTATGATCAACTATCAGAAGGCTACAAAGCTTATATCTGTTCTGTTAATCTTCATGCTGAACCTTCTTCATTTACACAGGCTAAAAAGTTTGATGAGTGGTTGCACGCAATGAATGAGGAACTTCTTGCTTTGGAAAGCACTGATACTTGGGATATTTGTTCTCTTCCGAGTGATAAACACGCTATTGGTTGCCGATGGGTTTACAAAGTTAAGCTTAAGGCAGATGGTACGTTGGAACGTTATAAGGCTAGGCTTGTTGCCAAAGGGTATACTCAGAAGGAAGGTGTGGATTTTGTAGATACTTTCTCACCAGTTGCTAAAATGACTACTGTGAAAACTTTGATTGCAGTTGCTGCAGCAAAGAAATGGAAGTTAAGTCAACTGGATATTTCAAACGCTTTTCTCAATGGAGATTTAACAGAGGAGATTTATATGTCTTTACCTCCTAGTTATACACCAAAAGAGGGCATTGTTCTTCCTCCAAATCCTGTTTGTCGCCTAAAGAAGTCTATCTACGGTTTAAAGCAGGAATCTAGACAGTGGTTTCTTAAGTTCAGCTCTACTCTAAGGAAATTGAAGTTTAAGAAATCACATGCTGATCATACTCTTTTTGTCAGAAATACTAATGCAAAGTATGTGGCTGTTTTGGTGTATGTAGACAACATTATCATTGCCAGCAATGATGATACAGAAGCAGACAAGCTTAAAGAAGATTTGCAGAACGCTTTTAAGCTGCGTGATCTTGGAGAGTTAAGATATTTTCTTGGACTCGAAATTGCAAGATCCTCTAAAGGGATTTTTGTATGTCAACGAAAATATACTTTGGAGTTACTTGAAGAAACAGGTTTATTGGCTTGCAAACCATCTAGCATTCCAATGGAACCTAGTCTGGAGTTGCAGCAACATTCCACTGAACCTGTTCTTGAGGATGGGAGTGTTTATCGGAGATTAGTTGGAAAGATGATGTATTTGACCATCACTCGGCCAGGTATTATGTATGCTGTCAACAAGTTATGTCAGTTTTCTTCGGCTCCTAAGGCTTCTCATCTTCAAGCAGCTTTCAAAGTATTACATTACTTGAAAGGCACGGTTGGCCTTGGACTCTTCTATTCTGCAGAGTCAAATTTTGTTCTTCAAGCTTTTACTGATGCGGACTGGGCTTCTTGCCCTGATACTCGACGTTCAACCTCTGGTTTTACGGTTTTCTTGGGATCATCTCTTATATCTTGGAAGTCTAAAAAGCAACATGTTGTGTCTCATTCCTCTGCTGAATCCGAGTACAGAGCAATGGCTTTTGTTGTTCGTGAACTCATTTTGGCTGATTAATCTTGTTCATGAGTTACAGATTTCTCAAGGTGGTCCGGTTTCTTTGTTCTGTGATTCAACAGCAGCAATACACATTGCTAATAATGCTGTTTTTCACGAACGCACCAAACATATAGAGCTGGATTGTCACCAAGTTCGTGATCGAATTGAGGAGGGGCTTGTGAAAACGTTTCATGTTCGAACTGATCTTCAGATAGCAGATGTGTT